CACAGGAGAAATATTTTAATCAAAGACACGGTACCACGCAAAATACTGTAGAACGTTGTATTGGTGTTATGAAAAAACGATTTCGATGTCTTAGACATCGTTCATTAGAATATACATCACAGAAAGCAGGTCAAATTATTAATGGCTGCGCAGTATTGCACAATATGTGCATACGTGCAAAAATACCTTTTCCTTCAGAACCTGAAGAGGCAATTATGGCTATGGAAGATGAGGTGAATAATTTTGAAATACAACCAACACCGGAAGGTTGAGCCATATTTAATGAAGGGCAGAAAACGCGCAATAATCTTGCAGCTCGATTGATAAATATGATTAATGTTATATAATATTGATATAAAATAATGTTATATTTAAAAAAAATGTAAAATTACTTAAACTACTTAACTTAATAATATAATGTAACTACTTAAAACTACTAATAAAATATATTATTATAATTGTTATAACTTGAAATGTTATTTATTGTAGTCACACATAAAATACATTAGATCAAGTGGAAACTAATAATCAAAAGTCTCTGAAAAAGTCCGTCCTATCTTTTTTGTCTCTTTTCTTCTTTCTGGCCCGTACCTCCTCGCGCGACCCCTTCCCAGACTCGACTGTGGGCGAGTCCACAACACTCCTTCCCTTACAAGTTGAGGCGGTTCACGGGCCTACGGATACGGCCCGAACGGCGAGGTTCTTGTGTCTGCTTTCCGTAATCCTTTTCCAGCTGCTTTTCTGTTATCTCTGACGGATTTTCATCTTCAACTGCCGTGCCCCATGCTTCTGCATGAGCTTGCTGAGGAGTCCCCGCCTGGTGATCTTCTTCAAGTAGTCCTTCCTTACTCGAATTTGCCAGTTCGGAGACTGATGGTGTGTTTCTGGTCTGAATGTTCAAATGACTCGGCGATCGTACTGTGGACTCCGGTATCGACTCGACGGTGGTGGCTGCGACCGGTTTTCGGATGATCTGATCTAAGTGACGTTTCTTTTGGTCCCCGTCCGGTGTTTTGATTGTAAAGTTTCGTGAGCCATTGATTTCTTCAATCTTCCCAGACTCCCATTTAGGGCCTCTGCCAAAATTTCGATATAATACGTCATCGGATACTGAGAGTTTTCTGTTCTGCAGCCAAGGCTTCTCTTCTCCTTTCTCTTCGAAATTTTGGCTCGTTTCGGGGTGAAATTTGTCCAAAAGTGTACGCAGTCGTCTCCCCATTAGTAGCTCCGCCGGTGATTTTCCTGTTGTAGCACCCGGTGTCGATCTTAGTGCCAGCAAGATGTTTGCCAATCCTACTTGCCACTCTCGCGCAGGTATTTTTTTCAGTTGATGTTTCAGTGTTTGAACCATTCTTTCCGCTAGTCCATTTGATGCGGGATGGTACGGTGCTGTTTGAATGAATTTTATTCCGTGCTTCTGAAGGTACTCCTTTACCTCAGCTGCCACAAACCCGGTACCATTGTCCGATACGACTACGTCTGGAATACCGTGAGTTGCAAAAGCTTCTCTGAAGCCTTTTATCACGGTGTTGGCTGACATTGACCCTCCAGTTTCTTTGACCTCCGGCCATTTCGTGTGGGCGTCGACCATGACTAAAAAAGTATGTCCCATTATGGGCCCCGCAAAATCGACGTGAATGCGTGACCAGGGTTTCCCAGACGGTGCCCAACTCACCGGTTCCGCCTTTCGGGGTTCTTTCCTCGTCTGTACACACGCTGCACAGTTACCGATCATTTCTTCGATGTCTTTGTCCAACGCCGGCCACCAGACATAGCTGCGGGCGATAGCCTTTGTTCGGTTTATACCTTGATGTACTTTATGAAGAAGCCCCAGGACGGCAGCTCGCAAAACTTTTGGAACAATCACGCGGCTACCCCACAGCAGACAGCCTCGCAATGCCGATAGAGATCCGTTTCTATGCTTCCACGGTATGTAATCCGGTTCATTAGGAAGTTCTTCGATAGTTCCGTGCAGGACTGCTCTTCGGACTCTTGCCAGCACTTGATCTTTTGACGTCGCCTGTTCGATGTTTTTAGCGGTTAATGGTGATCCTGTCGGCGCTTCTTCCAGGAGAAGCACGTCTGCCGGTTCCGGGAAACTTCTCTCCTCTCCGGGCAATGGCAATCTGCTGCAAGCATCCGCGTTCGCATGTTTTTTTCCTGGCCTGTAGTTCAACACAAAGTTGTAGCTGCCCAAAATCAAATTCCATCTGAGCATTCGAGGCGATAATGTTTCTGGCACGGCTTTTCCTTGTTTTAGCAGCCCCAACAGCGGCTTGTGATCTGTCAGGATGGTTACCGGGCGTCCCCAAATGAATCTGTGGAATTTTTTGAGTCCAAACATTATCGCCAGAGCCTCCTTGTCGATTTGCGCGTAGTTTTTTTCGCCTGTCTGCAGAGTTCTTGAGCCAAACGCAATCGGTGCCTCTGATCCATTTGGTAGCTTGTGGGATAGCACTGCCCCCACGCCGTAAGGTGACGCATCGCACGCTAACAATAGAGGCAATGTTTGATCGTAATGTGTCAGCACCCTGTCCGTCGTTAGCAACTCCTTAGATTGCTGGAAAGCTTGTTCCTGTCTTGAACCCCATACCCAGGTCGTCTTCTTCGACAGTAGTTCGTAGAGAGGTCCTGCGACCGACGCTTTATTTGGCATAAATCGTTCATAAAAATTCATCAAGCCTAAAAACGACTCTAGTTCTGTTCTATTTCTCGGTGGTGCCGCTTCTTTTATTGCTCGAACCTTCTCGTTCGTAGGGTGCACTCCCTCGGCGTCTATTCTGAAACCCAGGAATTCGACAGAGTGTCTTGCAAATGCGCACTTATTTTTATTTATACGCAACCCTACCTCTACGAAACGCTTCAAAACTTCTTGTACTCTTTGCCAGTGTTCGTCTACCGACCGACCTGCGATTAGAATGTCGTCTAAATAAACGATGTTTCCTTCCAGTCCCCCGAGGATGGTTTCCATCAGTCTTTGGAAACATGCCGGAGCTGACGAGATTCCGAACGGAAGCCTTTTTACCCGAAACAAGCCCTTGGTGGTGTTCAGTGTTAGCATCTTCGACGACTCCTCGTCCACACGTACTTGTGTATATGCCCGGTCTAAATCAAGTTTGGTGAAGACTCTTCCTCCAGCCAATATCGCCAGACCTTCGGTTATAGTCGGTAGGGGATAGACATCTGTTTTGATAACGGTATTCACCGTGCCCTTGTAGTCGCCGCAGATACGGATGTCTCCGTTTCGCTTCAGCACCGGGACGATGGGTGTTGCCCAATCGGATTGATTTACCTGTTCTAATACGTCTTCTTTTACCATTCGTGTTAATTCTGCTTCCACTTTCGCTTGCAGAGCTAGCGGAACCGCACGATGTCGCCTGAAAATTGGTCTTGCCCCCTCGTCTAATACGATCTTGATGGGCGCTCCTCTATAACGTCCCAATTCTTGGCGAAAAACTTCTTTGTACTGCTCTAACGCCGGTGGCGGAGCCTCCTCTTGCACCCAATGTGTTCCGCTTACCGAGATCCCCAGTGTTCCGAACCAGTCCCGCCCGAGCAGATTTGGTCCGTTGTTTGCCATGATCATCAGCCGCAGCTGTGATTTGATACCTCGGAACTGTACTTTGACCTTGCACTCCCCCAAGGTTTCCAGTTGTTGTTTCGACCAAGTTCGGAGGATTACTTTGGAACTTTCCAGCTTCTTACCGGCAGGCCATATTCTGTTAAACGTTTCTCGACCTATGATAGTGTGTCCAGCTCCTGAATCAATCTCCATTTCTACCGGAAATCCTTCAATCATTATCGATGCTGTTCGTTTGTCGGTAGTTTCACGTGCAGATACGTTGAATAGGTAGCTAACCGAACTGCTTTCTTCATTATCCTCTTCTGTATGATGGCATTTTGATGTCTCTTTCTTCTTTTGTCCTTCGCATTTGTTGGATGAATCTTTCTTTCCATCTTTTTTTTTCTTGAAACAAGCTCCTTTGATGTGACCAATTTTTTTACAGTATCTGCACTCTGTCTGAATGTGTGTACAAGTTTCTGGGAGGTGACTCCCATTACATCTGAAACACGGTCGTTTTTTGCTTTCCTGTTGTTTATTTATTGTGCTTTCCACCTGCTGACCAGTGTTATAATTTGCTTTCAATTCCGAGATGTTCTTGTTCGCTGACTCGTCTGCCAACGCTGCATCTTTTACTTTCTTGAACGTAAGGTCAGCGTCAGCCAACAGTCTTCGTTGAAGTCGCTCATCTCTCATTCCGCAAATCAATCTATCCAATAACATTTCTTCCAAATCCGTGAACTCGCAGTGTTCGCTTAACCTCCTGAGCTCCGCTAAGTAGTCTGCCAACGTCTCATTTTGCAGTTGATCCCGGCGATTAAATTTGAATCTTTGCACAAACTTACTGGGTCGTGGGTTGAAGTGTTCGGACAACAGTGTGATGGCCTCGTTAAATGTCAAATCGCTCGGTTTTCTAGGAGTAGTCAGTGACCGTAGTGTGGCGTATGTTACCTTGCCGCATGCTGAATAAAAAACTGCCTTTTTCTTGTTTTCTGAAGTGATGTCGTTCGCCTCAAAATAAAATCCTAATTGTTCACGGTATACTTCCCACGAATCTGCCGAACCTGGTACGAACTCGGAAACCGATCCTACGGTTCCTACGACTGTCTTTGCCGTTACGTCTGTCATTTCTAGGTTATATTATTTCTTAGACCGTGATTTCTCTTTCTTGGATTTATTTTCCGTCTGTATCAATGTTTATCCTCGTCGCCAATATGTTATAACTTGAAATGTTATTTATTGTAGTCACACATAAAATACATTAGATCAAGTGGAAACTAATAATCAAAAGTCTCTGAAAAAGTCCGTCCTATCTTTTTTGTCTCTTTTCTTCTTTCTGGCCCGTACCTCCTCGCGCGACCCCTTCCCAGACTCGACTGTGGGCGAGTCCACAACAATAATAAAGAAGCAAACTTTTTGTTGTAACAATAATATTATTCTGCCATACATACCAAATCTGCATTCACAAACTGTTTAATATAAGCTGCAATATCTGTAACAGCATCTGTCAATTTTTGTACTGCTTTTGTTTGCATCTGCATTTCATGTAGTATCTGTGCATTGATTTCTAAAATAAAAGACATTTATAAAAGAAGATTATATGTAATTTTATTTAAAAGAAGTTAAAATATTTTCCAGACAACATGTATGTCTAAAAGATCTATGTGACATCTTTTAGACAAGCGTATTGTCTGGATAATTTTCACTTTTATTACATTTTTGAAACAAACTTTGTGGTTTTTTTAACTTTCTTACCACAAAGGTCTGCAGTCTTTTGTCTTTTCAGACGCTTTCTTTGGGATTCGGATATCGGTGGACAGGATGGAGACCAATGCATCAATGTTTCTTGATGCTCGTTATTATTTGTATTTAAATTAAGGGATGCTAGGATAGCTATTTCATAGCTGTTACATTGCTTTGTTAGCTTCTCGTTATTTAAAAATAGAAGTAATATAACATAAATATAACATATTATACAACAAATGTTATATTTATATTAATGTTATGAAACCTGTCATATAGCAATTATTTTAATATTGGTAAAGAAATTTGTATTATAATGTTTCTGTAATAATTTAATTTATTATTTTAAATTACGCGGGATTTATTAATCAGCTGATACCGGATACGGACTCTAATGTAAATAATGTAAATATTACGTTATTTACATTAGGTTATTTGTGCTAACGGCACTAACGGTATGCAGCGCGCGCATTGTCTTTTATGCGCGCGATTGGACCGTGAGAGCTACACGACACTTGCGCACGCGTGCTTTGGTGATCAATACGAAGAAGCATTACAATCATGAGAAGGAATCAACCTCGGCGTCAGCAGGATACATCATCAGCCATTTTTACACTGTTCAAGAGGACGACTATTGGCATCGAGTTCAATGTATAGAATCCGAGGCCGGACTCGTCACGGTTTTCTTCATCGACAAGGGATACGAGAAGCAGCAGTACAAATCCAATTTGCTGCATCCCTTGGAGAAGATATTCTGCTTCCTTCCCGCTTAGGTAACGCATCTGTAGTCGATTCACTGTCGCTTCTGTTTGATCTTTGCGCTAACAATATTAATAATGCACTCGTGCATTTTTATACAGGCGATTAGAGTGGCTCTTCACGAACAGGCGACTACGGAAATTGAAAATTATCTCACTTCCGATCGCATGTTTTTAGTGACGGTGCACAGCATGAATACTGACGAATATGGTTCTTATACAACAGTGACCTTTTACGACATCAGCAAAGAGGACGCGGACGAAAATGTGAACCAAATTGTATTCGACAAAATTTTTAATTACATCATTGTCTCGTCTAAAACCGAAGTAATTATCTACGATTTAATTCGTATTTCGTTTAACCATATTTAAGCATATTTTAGTCAGCCATAGAGAGCCTGTCTTTTAATAGACTTTTAATTGACCATAAAATGAATTCACAGCATAAGTACGCAACGATGCATGTGAGTTCTTATACAGGGTGGGCCATTTTAATCCATCCACGCAAATAACTCCGTAAGTAAGCCAAATACAGAAAAATGGTTCAAACAAAAGTTGTTCAGGACAATAAGGGTCACCTATTTATGCTAGTGACTTTGACCTTAAAGTCAATTTTCAAGGTCATTTGAAGGTTAGAGTTATTTTTTAAAATGAAAACCCCTATTTTTGATTCCAAAATCTAATAGCTGGTGTCAAGAGCTTTTCAAAACACTATAATGAAGTTATTTTTCATTAGGTACTTTTCGAGTTATGAGGCTTGTAAATTACAGTATTTTGACATAAAATACAAAATATCTTGTAAAATATTCAATTTTTGGGAATCTTACCTTAATACTTTTATGCATAAAATAATGAGACGAATCAATTGGTATAAAGAAAACACATAGTTGCTTTCAAGAAAAAGTATGCAGTTGCATGTTGCAAACTACTATGTTGAAAATCAACTGTGAGGTCAAAGTCAAGGTCACCATCAGATAAATCCCTCGAAATCATGCAAATTTTGTCTGAGCCATTTTTTTGTACAAGCACATCCCTACGTTTTAAAAGGGTGGGACGGGTGGTCTGAAACACCCGGTATATCTACAGAAAATATTACTTTTAATAACATGCTAATTATGTTACAATATAAGCATTTTATCAATATGCTATTACAAACAATATTTCTCATATTAAACATTTATCTATCCAGATATTTTAAAGCAGATAGTATTCAGAGCAAATAATTTTAACTCAATGTGCCAAGTTTCTCGTTTAATTCGCATGTTTTACGTCTAACTTGTCTAAAATTATTCTTAAAAAATATTAGGTTTTCTCAGCACGGAAGATGACGTAGTTCCCGGCAATATGGGTCTGAAAGATCAGAGCATGGCACTTCGCTGGGTGTCGGAGAACATCGAGTGGTTCGGTGGCAATCCGAAAAAAATTACTTTGGTCGGTATGAGTGCCGGCGGTGCAAGCGTACATTATCATTACTTGTCGAAAATGAGCGCAGGACTCTTCCAAGGTATTTAGGTTGTTTTGTAAGAAAAACAATTATACGATCAGCGCGGAAATTAAATTACGTCTATGCGATTTTACATCATGCAGGTGGCATATCGGTCAGCGGTACAGCGTTCAATTGTTGGACGCAAACTGAGAACGCGAAGGAGAAGGCCAAGAAACTGGGTGCTCTGATGGGATGCCCTACGAGTAACTCTAGAGATATGATTCGCTGTTTGAGACATCGTCCAGCACGCGCGATTGCGCAGGCTGATAGCGATTTTATGGTGAGTTTTCTTTCTCCTTTGTCTCGGGAAAATATCTGATCACGATTTTTGAAACGCGAGAAAAAAGGTTTCGATCCGTCTTGTGATCTTGACAATAATTTGATCATGAAATTTTTAGTCGTTCTTGTACAATCCTTTCACCCCCTTCGGGCCGGTGCCCGAGAGAGTTGGCGACGCGACCCCCTTCATCGACAGAACGCCCGCCGAAATCGTGAGCAGCGGTGACGTACAGGACGTGCCGTGGATCACGGGGGTGGTAACCGAAGAAGGCCTCTATCCCGTAGCCGGTAAGATAATGCGCAGAGTTAAACGATTATAAATATATACAAACTTTGACCGATACCAATTTATTATCGTAGAATTTATCGCCAATGAAGAAGCTCTCAAACAATTGAATGATAATTGGGACGTTCTTGGACCGGAGTTCCTTGATTTCAACCACACCCTTCCCAGAGAAAGACACGTCGAGACCGCTCGTCTTATCAAGCAGCATTATCTTGGCACAAAACCGATAGACACTCGAAGCACGAAAGAATTGGTACAAATGGCAGGGGACCGCTTTTTCGTGGTCGACAGTGAAAAGGTTGCACGAATGCAGGCCAAAGTGAACCAGAATCCTGTCTGGTATTATTATTACTCGTACAACGGAGCAGAAAGCTTGAGCACAGCCCTTTCTGGCTACACTACCAATAAATATTACGGTAAGTCTACAGGAAGCCTATATTCAGAAAATTTACATACTAAAATGTATTTATATTACAAACAAAATTCTATTTATAATTTTGTATTTTTTTAGGAGTAAGTCACGGTGACGACGTGTTCATTGTATTAGATACTCCTTATTTTGATCCAATAACAACGCAAGAGGATCGTGATATGCAACAACACTGGCTTGACTTTTGGGCCTCTTTTGCCACAGACGGGTAAATAAAAATATATTAAGAATTGCAAAATAATATTAGCATTAATTTTATAATATTGATATTTATTAAATAATATTAATCTTTGTTTTCCACATTGTTGCAGAGTACCAAAAGTGAGCAATGTGGAATGGCCACGATTAGATCCTAGCAAGAAAGATCTTCATTATTTGCATTTTGCTGGTCCTACCAAAATTTATATGGACAGTAACGCTAACCTTGGAGAGAAAACGTTCTGGAGTTCAATTAAGTTCAACGAGAATGTATTGAAGCAAAGCAAAGCTAAAAAAGATGAGCTTTGAATGATTCTCAAATTTGTATGCAAGTCTTTATCTGCATTTCATTGTCCTATCAAGATTAATTAATTAACATATATATAAAGTAATACATACATAATAATATTAACTTTGAAAAGAAAGAATTTTGAAAGAATTTTGAAAAGAAAGAACCTGAATAATCTTTATCAAGAATACATTGCAATAAACTAATTGTAGTGTTAGGAGAGAAGAGTTTTAAACTATTCTCAAATTTGTGTACTCAATTTTTTTCTAAAAACTTTAGATTAAATTAAATATTACTAAAAAATAATATTACAAATGAACTATTACAATATGAATTATTTAATTCTTAATTTTTGTAGATAAATTTTATATACTTAATTGTTTTCAAAATACATATCTTTCTTTTCTCATAAAAACATTACTCAATTAATTTTTAGCACAAATAATAAATACTAAAACTTACCATATCCTTTATAACAATGTCACGAAGAACATGTCTACCAATTTTTGTAATCCCTTTTTTGATTTCATATTCAGTGGAATTAATAGTTAATGTTCCAACCTAAAATAATCGATTAACAAAATATAAAATATTAAGTATATATTATACTGAATTGTTTTAAAAAATGCATAGTATTAGTAACCCAAAAAAATATTTTGAATACTAATAAAAAAAACTTAATGGTTAAAATTTATTGAATAATTTGAGATTATAAATCTATAGAAAAAATATAACTTGACTTAATAAAATTCTTATGTATTTCCATATTTAAAATTGAGCATGTATAATCCATATTTTCCATCCTTTTTTAAAATTATATTATTAGAATATAGATAGGAACAACAATTACATTTAATGATCACTAACCTGTACTGCTAGATCTTCCTCAGGAACATGTGAAGTTCTTTCAATAGATTCTTCTTCATAGATTTGAGTGGCTTCCAAATCCATGTTGTATTTTCATAACATAACCTCTATCGTGCGTTGAGGTAAAAGTTATCAAAATTGTTATGTGAACGTGAAGACAAGCAAATATTTCACGAATATAAATATTTTACGAATAGTAACACTTACTATAAATAAATAATATTAACACAAAATGTAACACACACCACATCAACGTTTCACAAACAATCGACTGATCATGTTTTCAATCGCAGTTGCAATTCTTCCCGCCACAACATCGTGTACACATGTTCACACGCGGGCTGTGTTCCGAAATTCA